GGCCAGGTGTGTCTTTACAAACAGTGCGGAGATCGGGAGAGAGGCTCCCACGGGATGGCTCACGGTGCTGGGGGCGTGGCCATGGCCTGGAAACCGTTCTGGGTTTAAACAGCGACACCTATAATTATGGAAGCGTCATTCCTTCCATAAGAAAGAATATAAACAAAGAAGGCAAAGTCTTTCCACCTACAAGGTGTGGTCATCGCTTGTGTGGAGCCTCCAGAAACCTGTCTGGCAGTTGTTTCTGGCTTGTATCTCCCATCATTCTCTGAGCTCGCAAAACAATACAGAGGTAAACAATCGAGGCAATTAGCAGCGTCTTTGGGGTAACAGGAGAGAGAAGTCACCCTGCTATTAACGTTAAAGGAATTAGTCATGGTTACATAGATGATTTAGAGGCTTAACTTTGCAAGTGGTTGAAAACAAGGAGTCAACAAATTTTACAAAAGACACCAGTTTGGGGAGGTATGGCAGACTCGTACAGGATAGTCTGTCAAATGGTTTAAGCTTTAGTCTCAGTGCGCAAAGGTCATTGTGATGGTGCCTGTTACCGAGAGGCTGCGTGCCTGCAGGGTCCGTGCTTCTCAGACTGTAGGAGACACAGCTGGCAACTTTGTTAACATGCAGATCCCGGCTCAGCTGGTCTCGGGCCAGGCCGGGACAGGCACTTCCCCGTGCTCAGGTGGTCCAGGCTGCAGGCCTGGAGGCTCTAGATTGTTCTAGGCGCTCTGGCAGGGAGGACTGGGATGCTCCCACTCCCTTTCTCTATCTTCCCATCACCAACATGTTGCCTGGGTTGGGGGACTAGACTCGCTTTTGGAGTGGCGGTATTTGGCCAAAGACGTTTTTTGGAGTTGATCGATGAGAGTCCATTGGCACCCACAGGGAAGGAGCGATAGAGTACAGTTATCAGCAGCCTCTCTTCACCAGGACCAATTAGAAAAACATAATTTTTGCAGGCCATGTTTATAGAACTTTGTCCTTAAAGGGAGAAAAGCAGGAAATGCCATCATTATAACTGTGACTAAAAGCTCAGAACAGGCATTACCTCTCTAGTTTTACTGCTGAGCCTCTATGAGTTTTGTTGTTGGGAAAACCCTCTTATTGGGGTCTCTCACCATCCGGTGACCAGCTTTCCAAGTCACACATTACCCCCTGTGGTGGTCTCCGTGCCTGATGACACTGTCCACTTCAAAACAAGGGTCCCACATGGTCTCGGGTGTGGCCCGCAGTGCTGCTGCAGGCGGAGGACACCCTGATGTGAAACCTGGGCCTTTTCTCTCCCAGGGAGAAGCGGGAGAGTCAGCTTTCCTTGAGACTCTCACTCCCCTCTCCTGTCTCTCTCCTCCTTTCCCTCTGAGTCTCCCCACCTGAGGGAGGAGAGGGGAGTAGGGGTTGCCTTGGATCTGGACTCTGTGGCCTGTGCTCTGTGAGTGAAACGTGGGTCGGCTGTTTCTGGAAGGGGGACCAGCCGCTGTGAAGTAGAGGTGGATGGGAACACACAGCGAGCTGAGCCAGGGCCTGGGTCTCCCTGGCCCAGCCACCAGCCAGGCGTTCGGTGGCGGAGGTGCGTCAGCTCCCCGGGCCAGCTTTGTGCTCTCAGCTTATCACACCTGGTGACGCCCGTTTCCCCGAGGGAGCAGCACTGAGTGCACTGGGTGGCAGCGCACCGAGTATTGAGGAGCCATGCCCTCTCCATCACGTTCAATCCTCTGGTTCACAAAAACAAAGAGAAAACCAATTCTCTGGGACGCCCTTGCCACTAGCAATTCTCAGCACTGGCCACTCTTTTTATTTATTTTTTTTGCCAGTCTCCCTAACAAAGAGAAAGCAAGACTTCTTTTGCGCAGTGACTGTTTTTAATTTGTTGGTTCCTTTTTAAAGTAGTAATAGAAAAATGTAACATGTCGGTTGATTTAAAGGGAAATATCCAGTACAATTACCATAATAACTGCACTCCAATGAGTACAGCACATCAATTATTCAGGAACTATTATGTTATGGAGATATGGCAAAATTAGGAAGACAGTAATTACAGTTTAAGAAACACTGAATTAGGTGATTTTCAAGTTTCTGTTTACTCTAAACATCCAAGAGCACCAGGTATCTCACCCAGGGGCGAATGCCCTCCAGCCCTCTTCCCCGAAATGGGGAATGGGACGTGGAACGGACTCAGCATCTGCACGGTGGGCTGGTGCTGGGCTCAGTGGTGTATGGCAGCGCACACATTCTGACACCTTGGGGAGATTTGGGCCAGTTAACTACAGTTTGCACTTGCAATATCCTTCCCCCCTCCCCCCACCCGTTACTTAAAATATAACAATATGGGGACAGGCACCTTAGCCTTGGTGTAATTAAGAATGAAATGATTTTGGGAACGTTTGCTTAAAAATAGATTTCAATTTGCTTTACCACCAAAAGGTGGCGTCCTACCCCCATGCCCTTTATTTAAAAACCCTTCTTGCCTTACTATAACAAAAAGAAACTTCCAGTAGACTACTGATACATTAAAATGTGTTCCCTATGAATATAAGGCAAAGTGTTGAAAATGGACACTGTGTTAAGCTGCAGTTGAGTTTCCACCTAATGTAAGCCAAATGGATACGGAGTTCTTTATTAAGGGAGCTCACAGACAGTCGTATACACACAGTTGAGCACAATATATCACAGGGTTTACAAACAGGACTTCCTTTTGTCCACAAAACTGACTTTAGCTCCACTTTCCAATCTGACTTAGGTCCCCACTTTCAAGTGAATGTAGACTTTAAGACAGTTCAAATGCAGAATAAGACCAGTGGCAATCTAAAGAGCAGTTAATATGGCAATACTAACAATTTTTAAAAACTGTTTAATCAAAAAATGAGATCAGAGCATGATCTGTTCTTTACCGACCAGGAATAAATTAGTCATTTAGAAGAGACTGCTTTCTCTGAGAGCGCGGGCGCGGGGAGGGTGGAAAACACCATCCCCTGCCCCTCCACTGTCAGCAGCAGGCATGGCACATGAGCACAGTATATCTGGCATAAATTTTTTATATATGAAAACAACCCCTCATCCCTTCAATAGACTGGCAACTTTGTAGATTTCCATGTAATCCCATGCGGATCCAGCACATGGGGTCCCAGCGATGCTGTGTTGTGAGAGCATTACCGGAGCTGATGGAGCATTTACATCAGCACCTCAGTCACAAACAGCAGCTGTCCTAACCACAGCTGGGCCTGCTCCTCAAGGCAGGCTCTCCATGGCCGCGGGGTCCAGCGCAGAGGTGTGCAGTCACGTCTTCGCGTCCTGCCTCAGAGACCCCGGAGCCCAGCTTCCAGGAAGCTGGAACTTCCCCTCAAACCAACGTGCACGTCCTTCACCTTCATTCTCTCTACAAGACTCAGGGGCTGGCCCTGACTGGCTGTCGGGAAGGCAGATCGCCTTCACCGGGAGCCCTGCTGTGCAGGGTGCCGCCCTCCCTTCCTCCGGCCCGGCCCGGGGCTTTATTCTGATTGCACCAGGGAGTGGCTGTTGTTGTTGTTTTTTAATTTGCAAAAGAGACACAGTTTAAAGCAGCAGCCTGATGCTATTATTGAAGTTGAGATTTAGGCTTCCTCTGTAAATGTTTAACAATATTTGTAAAAGTTTCCCCAAAGGATTTATAATATCCTTTTCTGCTGGTCTTGAGACCAATGGGACAGTCCTCCCCCCTCCCCCCTATTTCGTTGAACCCATGGGGCGGCTTTGACCGCTACACCATCCAGCCAACAGCTGGGAGCACCGGCCTGGGAATCTGGCAGCGTCTGGGGTGATGGCTCTTTAGAAAATTATTTCTGTTAACAAGACACAGAGCTCCATATCTTTCTAAGTCACTTTGGGAAACCAAGCCTCCTTGCCAGTGCGTTGCTTTTTACATTTACATGTATGTTCCGGGACCATTCCTCCAGGCTCCTAATGACTCCTGTTTCTAGCTGCCGACCTCCCACCAGAGCGCACCCAGCTCCCCTGCCTGACCGGCAGATTCCCGCCGGGCCCGTCCCCGAGAGCGGCGGCGTCCGCGCGGCCCGGCGCGGCCCGGGCGGGTCCGGGCGGCGGCCGAACCCGCTCCCGCCGAAGGCGCCTCCGCGCCTCCCGGGCCTCCCCGCGGCCTCCCGGGGCCTGGGCGCGGGGGAGGGGGGCGCCCACGCGACCCGCTCCTGAGTGCGGAGCCCTTGCTGGGCTGCTGCTTTCTCGCAAAGGGGGCTTGTCCTTCTGCTGAACTTTCAACTCCCGAACTCCCTCCTTCCATTGGACAGAGTGGAGAGCCGGGCGGCCGGGCGGAGGGGGCGCCGCCCCCGCCCCGTCTCCACTGTCACCGCCGCGGACACTTTCGCTTTTAACGGCAGCGGCTCGGCCGCCCGCTCTCCCTTCTTTTCTGCATTTTCTGCATCTTCAGCCCAGGAACCAAGCAGATGGCCCTCGCCTTCCCGTCTTCGTCCCGGGGGAGGCTCTGCAGCGAGATCCCCGGAGTCCGATGCCCCCTCCCACCTTCCGGGGATCCCCCTCCGGCCCCTCACTTTCCAGGCGGACCCTCCGCCCCGCAGCCCGCCGCCCGCGACCCTCCCTCCGCGACGGGGCTCGGCCGCCCGCCCCTCCGCCGCCCCCAGCCCGGCCCGGCCCCCGCCCCCGCCCCCGCCCCGGCGGCCGGCCCCGCGCTCTCCCGGAGCCGCTTGTTTACACAGCAGGTGGATGTGACGTCAGGGACGCACAACAGCAAAAAATAACAAGGTCTCCCTCCGCCAGGGCCTCCTTTATTTGTTTGTTCCGGGAGGCCGGCCGGGGGCGGGGTGGGCGCAGAGGTCGGTCGGCCGGGGCGGGCGGCGGCTCGGGCCGGGGGCTCGGGGCCGGGGGCGGCCGGGGCGGAGCGGCGGGGCCGGGGGGCCAGGGCCGGCGGAGAGCGTCCGGCGCCCGCGACCCCCGCGCCGCTGCCCGGCGGCCGAGCCGGGAAGCTAGTCCCAGCGGAGGAATCTATTGTTATTTATCGTGTGCGCCGCCCGCCCTCCCCGGTGCGTGTGCGCGCGCGCGTGTCCGTGTCCGTGTGAGTGTGTGCGCGTGTGTGCGCGGGGCGCGGGCGGGAGTGGGCGCGTGCGGGAAAGGCCTGAAACCACCTTAGTTTGCACCGCGAGATCCTTTGCAGCGGGTGAGTTTGTATTTTTCCATTTCTGCTCCACTTTTCCCAAGCCGCCTTCTGCCTTGTTTCCGCCACTTTAAACAACAACCAGCACACACAAAAAAAAGAAAAAAAAAAAAGAAAAAAAAAAGGAAGAAAGAAAGAAAAAAGAAAGGAAAAAAAGGAAGAAAGAAAAAAAAACAACTACTTTCCACCTCCAGCCTCCACGTGCACTCCCCCCTCCCGCAGGCGCTGTCCGGGCCGGGCGGGCGGGCGGGAGCGGTGGGGGCGGCGGCGGGGCGGGGGCCCGGGCCGCTCGGCCCATTTGCATAAGTCAAGGGGGGGACCGGACCGTCCTCGGCCGCACGCCGCTCCGCGCCGGGCAGAGGAGTCCATAACCCGGGCCCCCGGGCAACTTGCAGCGTCTGGCGCCGGTGCGGGCGGAGGGGCGGACGCGGTTCGGGCCGGGTCTGCGGCGGGAGGGGGCGCGCTGGTCTCTGGACACCAAAGTTTGGACGTGAGCAGACTTTCCCTTTCTCTCCCGAGTGCACGGCCCTCGGCGCCCCCGGGCCGCGGCGGGATGCCGGGGTATGTCCACGCCTCGGGCCTCGAGCCGGCCGTCCCCGGTGCCACGCACGCCGCTCCCGGAGTTCCGTCCCCCCGGGCCGGCCCCGGCCGCACGGCCTCGCTGACACGTGCCCCGCGCGCCGGCCCCGGAGCCGGCCTCCCGCGAAGGGAGCAGGACGCGGGTTGGGCGCCCGGCCCGTTCCCCTCTCCTCCGCGCACTCTCTCCCCGCACTCCCTGAGCGGGGGCGCGGGGGCGCTTTCCAGCCCGTCCGTCCCGCCGCGCGGGAAGCGCCGCGTCCTCCGGCGCCCGGGGCTCCCGTCCGCGCCCGCGCCGCCCTCCGAGGCCGCTCCGGCGGAGCGGGGGCTCCGGCGCCTTAGCGGGCGGCGTGCGCTTTCGGCGGGACTCGGCGGCCGGGGAGCCGGGGTTCGCTGCCCCGCCGCCGCGGGCAGACCGCCTCCGCCCCCGGCCCCCGCCTCCCCGGTCCCGCGGGTCGGAAACTTTGGTTCCCGCTCCCGGGTCCCGGCGGGTCCCCCACCTGTTGTAGCGCCGCGTCCCCGGGGAGGGAGGTGCGCCGGCCGAGCTCCGCGCCCAGAAACAAAGTGCGGCTCGGGCTCCGGGGCTCGCGGGGAGCGCGGTCGCCCCCGCCGCCCCCGCCGCCCCCCGCCGCCCCCCGCCGGCCCCCGCCCCGAGAAAAGGGCCAGTAAACAGCGCAGCCCGGCCCCGAGCCCACCGCCGCCTCTGCTCCTTTCTGTCCCTTCTGTGTGCAACTTTGTGAGCGCGGCGCCCAGCCCGGTCCTCCCCGCGCCGGCCCCCGCCGCCCGCCCCTGGCCTTCCAGCCGCCCCCCTCCGCCCCACCCCACCTGCGCCGGAGCCGGCTGAGTGTCGCCCGGTTTCTTGTCGATCGCAGAGCCCGAAAGTTTGACGAGGAAGAGGCGCGCGGCGAGCCGGGCGGCGGCGCCGAGGACATGGTGCGGCCGGCGCCGGCTCCGCGGGCGTGAAGGCGGCGCCCCCTCCTCCCTCCGGCGGCGGCGGCGGGTAAGTCGAGGCGGCGGCGGGCGTGGGGCCGGGGGGCCGGGGGGCCGGGGCCGGGGCCGGGGACATCCCGGAGCTCCGGGCGGAACGCGGGTCCTCAGTGCCAAAGCGCCCGCCTGGGCAGCAGAGGCACCGGAGCCAGGGATGTGCCCATCTTCAAACACTGGGCTTCCTCTTTCTCCCCTTTATTTCTTAAACCCGAGAATCCGGAGAGAAAGTTTAGCGTGGAGTGTAAAGTGCCCTGATAAAATATGGTGACACCTCTCGCTCCCTTCTCACCCTGCTCCCCCCTTATAACTATCAATTATTTCCAAGTCATTGTGTCCAAATACCCTTGCCGAGCTGATTACAAAGTGTATTGATTTAATCCGGGCTCATCCTACTCGTTTCGTTTTATTCATTTTCTTTTTGTTCAACCAGAAAACCCAAAATGAAACATTTCTTCCTCTTCCTAACACCTCCCTCCCCCAGCCCTCATCTGTGAGGCCGGGCTGAGCAGTGACATTAATATAAACATTTAATTTGGTCGCATCTGAGCTTCTCCAGCCGCTGAGGAGAGGCTGGCGTCGCCGTGGTGTCCGGTCACAGGTATTTTCTGAGTTGGGCGTCCTTTTTGTTCCCGCTCTCCCGCCGGGAACGCGGAGGGCGGTCTGCATTCCCAGGAAGGGCGCTGTGTGTGCACACTGAGGAAGGCCAAGCTCCCCTTTCCTGGGGCTGTCCTGGGCTTTAGGACTTAGGGTTTGCAGAATAGCTTGCTGAGAAAAATCTAAAGGATATTTAAAAGACTTTTCTCCTGCTGCAAATATATTGAAGAACCTCTGCAAAATTTTTACCTTCCTCTCCTCTTCCCCCCACTGAGAACCCATTTAAGGGGGAGATGTCTTAACTGGAATTTGAGGAGAAATTGTTGGATTAAGGCGTTTTCTACTCAGGGTTAACCAACATAATTCAGAGAGAAAAGGGAGAGAGCGGAATCCTGTAATTTTCAGTTTCAGAGAGAAATGTATCAAACCTTTTTAAGTATTCCACTGGAGTTTTGATTTTCAAAGTGGAAATACCCATCTCTTTGAATCCAGAAAAACTGGACTCACAGTTACAGAGATTTGGAATGGGGTTTTCTTCTCTGATTTTCCTACTTGAAATGTCTAATAATTGAAGAGCCCTAAAAATATAAAATGGAACTCAACTAGTTATTATTTAAAAGGTGTCAGCTAAAAATCTCACTGCACAAAGGGGAAAAAAGGTTTAACATCTTTCCACTAGCTGCGTAGCTACCCCAGCCCCCCACCCCCTTAGACTTTGGGCTAATATGAGAGAGGGAAAATCAGGGTTTTTTTGGAGGGGAAAGTAAAGTAAACAGCCTCCAACTGCTGAACCTTGACAACCCAAATTAAGGAAGCAGGCGAGATCAAACGGAACTGCCGCTGGGTTGTTGTCAGCTCTGCATCCAGGACCCTAGACTGTTGGATCAAGCAGCAAAGCCATATACTTACTAATGCAGAAATGGACCATTGCAAATGCTGATCTTTGTTGTGCAAGCGAAGGCTCACTTGGAAGGACATACTTAGGTTTTCTCTGGGCAGCATTTGAGTTCTTTATGAATGCTGACTTCCTAAACAATTTGCTATTTTTTAATGCATTATTGTTTCTGAACAGAATGCACTCAAAAAGGTATTGAAGGAATATGTCTTTGGAGGGTGTCTTGCTACCCAGAAATGTGTGATGGAATTCTTCCTAACATTAGGCTCCTTCAGGAGAGCTAGATGACGTTTTCTCAAAGCAAGTAGAGAAGATCTGCCTTGTCAGGGAAGCCAGGGTTTTGTAAATGGGGGTTTAAATCTGATGTGCAGTTCAAAACAAACAAACAAACAAACAAACAACAACACGCAAAAACCTGGTGGTGATGTTCTGTGTCGGCCCTCTGTTGGAATTTAAGATGCAGGAGGAATGGGTCTGCAGATTGTACAGACCTTTTTTTTAGAGTGGCATTCAGCAGAACCAGGTTGCTACTTTTATATAAGTTCTCTGTAACTTGTCCTTGCTTGTTTTCTAGAAAAACTTAACTGCTTTACATTTTTAAAGGGAGTAGTAACAGTAATTACTTTAGCATTTTGTTTTCACAGGCTTGTCAAAGTATAATGAAAGAAACGTCGAGTATTCAAATTAACTGTCTTAAATTAAGAGGGTGATATTGCTGAAGATGTCTGTAAGATTTTGTATTTATATTTAAATTTTGGCTTATAAGCTGTGTAACCTTTTTTTCTTTCTAAAAACTCTCCCCAAATTAAATGCCATTTTAAACTAAATAGAGCAAAGTAGGAAATAGGACAAGTAAACACAGGAGAATAAAAATAATTGTCACTTGAGAATTTAATTTTTAAATAACAAATGTTGATCACATAGAAGCACTTTGTTTTCTTATAAGTCAAAGTTTTATAACCATTGTGGCCAACATGTTTCAAAGTCTGTAGTTTTATTGGGTATACCTTTTATTGTGTAATTAAACAATGCGAGTTAAATGTGCACATGGATGCTATTAGGCAATTTTTTGCAATATGTATTTTTTTTTAAAAAAGCTGTAAATATTCTCTAGTTAAATCATTTGTACCAACAATAACAGAAATTAACTAGGTTAATATTGAACCAGGCATAGTTTTCTGTCACTAAGTTTTATCCTTGCTTCTCTTGAAACTGTATCCCTGACCTTGTATATTTACATTCTCGGGCTCCATTGAAGGGTATATCTTTTTCAGCAGTTGTTTAACTGAAGAATTGTGATATTTCCTAAATATATTTATACCACATCAAATCCAATGCCAACATTAAGAAAGAGAAGGGAGAACAGAGCAGATGTGACAACTTCTTTGGAACTATTTTATTGTGCTGTGTATTTGGTTTTTATTTTTTACTTTAAAACTCAAATTCGGTTTTGAAATGTTACCTTGTAAGATTTAGATTCACCAAAAGGTAGACAATGTTAGGAGTTATCGCACCAATTACAGTTCAGCAGGGATGCCAGGAATATTTACAGGGCTTTTCGAGGGTTCTGTCTTTGAAAAATAATTTTAGGCACACGTTAATAAAATTTAAATAGATTGCAGGCTGTCAGAAAATAGTATAAATTTTGTTTATGACTCAGTACGTTAAGGTACTTACATTAAAGAAACTCATTTAACCCCTGACTGGAGAGCATTAAGTAGGAGGACGGCCTCCAGAGCACTCGTGCCCTTTGCTCGGCGGATGAGCTTAAGCTACTGCCGTCTAATTGCAACTCCGGGCCCTGAGCATGAGTTGTTTCTCTGTGGCTGAGAAAGGTGTCCAGGTCAGAGCTAGATTTGCACAGGTGGTATTTGTGATTTATTATTTTTTTTGCTTAGGGCCTTTTCCTTTTATAGAATTCAGTTATAGTAAATGCCGTTTTAGCTAAGCCAACAGTATTGTCCTTTTTTTTTTTTTTTTTTTTCTTCAAAATAGGTTTTTTGAACCTGGAGATTATTAAGGTCTAAGGCAAGTAGGGTTTGTTTTCTAAAGAAAATAACCTGAAGAGAAGCATCTGCTGAATAGACAGTGAACTGTGTGCAGGAGCTGAGCACAGGCTCAGGGTTGGCTGGGAATTGTTCATTTCTTTAGCTGGTGGTGGCAGTCCCCCCAGGTGACCTGCAGGGCTTGTGAGTCAGCCAGCCGGCCAGGTAGCGTCCAGTTAGCGCATGCAGCTCTGAGTGGTCTTCTTGTGACGTGTCCACTGGCCACAGGCCGCTCTGCACTACCGGTGCGACCCAACGAGCCATCTGAAGGCGGTTTTTACAATGATGTTTCCCTTCCATGGCACTTGCATGAATAAAGCTAGCGCTGCCCAACACGGGCACAGCAGCAGGCCTGCATGCGATGAGAGCCTGGCCAGGCCGGGACCCGTGCACGACCGTGGTTCTCTCTCCTCCCCTGGGATCTGCAGTTTATTTCGTTGTGCATGTGACGACGTGGTTAATGGAAATTAAGCAGATTTGGCTTGTGTCGCCAATCTAAAAATACATGTCGTAAGGAGCGTTGATTTCAAGAACTGCTTCGGTTTTTCATCCATATAATGTTCTTGCACTTAAGGCTACAAGGCTGGTGTTTTGGAAAGAGGAAGTACCGTGGGATAAATTGCATGGCAGTCGGGAAGGACAATTAGACAGTGTTCTTTGTTTTGCAATGAATTATTCTTATTAATTACAGTCAGTTTGCAGCAGGCCTTGTCCGGCCTTCTTAGAAGCCAGCTCCCCGTCACCAGAAGGCTGTGCCGGGGCTGTGTATGTCCTGTCCTGGTCCTGCCGCCCAGCCCAGCCCTGGGGTCCGTGGGGGTCTCCGCAAAGTTTGCTTTCCCGTTTGAAACCTCCTGGCCCTCGTTTTACTCTCTACCTGCCCCGTGCACACAGGTGTTGGCTCAGCGGTTAGGCTATGGGACTTAGCCGCTGGCCAGTGAGCTGTCTGAAGAAAGAACCTGTAGGTGAACAAGTGTAAGTGGGTTTTTCCTTTGACCCTCCCCAACGTGTTTTGTTTTAAAATAATGTGGGGGAGCGGCTCAATGTAGTGCCTTGGTGCTGGCAGTGACCTTGCAGCGGGTGAGAGTCCTGGGAGCCAGGGAGCCTCCAGGGGTCTCATCCTGACGCCGGAAGTACCTCCGTCACCAGGTCAGATTAATTCCTTCAATTCCAGTACTTAAAGTAACCAAATCGTAAACAAAATTTATATTAGCTCCTGACAACTAATAATCTATTTAAATTACATGAAGTATCTTGGCAAAAAATTAATTAAAGACAGAAGTACTGTCAAGGCCTGTAAATATCTTGACAGGTCCACTCAAATGGAACTGATACTACGAAATATTTACATATGTCGCCGTGTCCGGGAACATCTCAGCAGAGCCTGTGCGAAGCTAATTGCACTTACTTTCCAAATCACAATTTTTATGAAATGGTTTTCTTTTGAAAAGGAACATGGATACATAGAAAATTGTGTTCAAG